TAATTTATTTTCTAAAATTTATCTTTGGCTCTTTTCCAATTCACTCATGTACCCTTTCATCATTTTAAAGACACTTATTATATTGACAACAAATTATCTGAAAAAGAAATAAAGTGATCCTGCTTATAATAACATCAGAAAAAATAAAATACTTAGGAATAAATTTAACCAAGAAGGGGAAAGATCTCCACCATGAAAACTACAAAACACTGATGAAAGAAAGTGAATAAGACAGAAATAAATAGATATTCTGTGTTCATGGATTAGAAGAATTGATATTGTTCATATGTCCATGTTTCCCAAAGCCATCTATAGTTTGAGTATAATCCCTATCAAGATTCCAAGGGCATCATTATAGGAGTAGAAATAGCAATTCCTTTTTTTTTTTTTTTTTTTTTTTTGAGAGGGGGAGCACGTGCATGTCCACATGTGGGGGGAGCAGGGAGGGACAGAAAGAATCCTAAGCAGGATCCACTCCCAGCACGAAGCTGACACAGGGCTTGATCTCATGAACCCAAGATCATGACCTGAGCAGAAATCAAGAGATGCTTAACCAACTGAGCCACACAGGTGCCGCAGAAAAAAACAATTCTAAAACTTACATGCAATCACAGAAGACCTCAAATAGCCAAACCAGTCCTGACAAAAAGAACAAAGCCAGAGGCATCTTGCTTCCTACTTTTGAGCTGTGTTACAAAACTGCAGTAGTCAAAACAGTATGGTACTAGCCTAAAAGCAGAAGCCTCGGGCAATGGAACAGAATCGAGATCCCAGAAATAAATGCGTGCATATGTGGTCAATTAATGTATGGCTGCTGGAGTTTGAAGTAGGCTTTTAAGAGTAGCTAAGATTAAGTAGTAAAAGCCAGGAATATTTACATCTCATTGCTTTGAAAACAGGATCTCAGAACTCATGTATTGAGAAATTTTGAAATGCCTTTATCTGTCTTTTCCCTCTTGTTTTTACTTGTCACAGGGAGCTGCATGATGTGGAACCGTGAGAGTAAATAGTAGCAGTCCAGACCAAGGGGAGCTTAAGTAAATAGCCTGGGAACTCTCAGCCTCAGTATTGCTGTTTAGAGAATAGGCATAAGGAGCCCTGTCATACGACCAGCAGTGGGGAAGAGATGAGAAAAAGGATATGAAGGTACCCTACAAAGGATGGTCAGCCACCCCATTTTTCCTTGTGTTTCCTCTGAGCAACTATTGTCAACCAAAATGGCGACATTAATTGCAGCAGATGAAAACACAAGAAGGTCCCTGTCCCGCTGTTCCCATGCAGACTGATGTATTCACTTACTAGTCCACCTGCAAGCCACGCAAAACCACTTCTCACTTCCGGGTCGGCCCTTTTATGCCCGGCATGTTCCCTCACCAGCCTTTACCGGCGGCTCTTCCCCACTCACTGGGATGATCTTTCCCTCCTTTATCCCTTTCTCCTTGGCAAATCTCACTTTTTCTTCTGAGGCTCAGGTCCAGAATAACATCTCCTGTAAAAAATCTCACGGGCAAAAGTCGTTTCTTGTTTTCCTGGGGTTCTGTAGCATTCGAGCAGACCTCTTCTCCTTGCACCGTGAGCTCTCTCAAGGCTGGGGCTACAGTTCGTTTATCTTTCTCTGCATCTTCCTGTAGTGCCAGCCAACAGTGACTGGCCTCTAGCAGATGCTCGTGAATGTTAGCCGCATGTTTGAACGAGTCCCCTAACCAAGGCTTGCACACATCTGGTTCCACAACATCTGCCGTACGGTGAAAACAAACATGAATCCCGAGAACAGCTCTTGACAGCGAAGTTGTTATTTTATACCCTTTCTTGGGAAGCTCCCACTTTTTTGTTGTCATAGCTGGTAAATCCACATTGGAGCCATTATCCCCAATTGAATGACGACAAGAAGACAGTTTATAGTCTTTAGAAACCACAAGGAGAAAGCTAGTGATCTGAGAAAATGCTGTCTAGACAGAATGTAGACTCCATGGTATTTAGTTACCCTAAAGAGACATTCACAGTGAAATTAAATTTAAATCTAAGAGAAGCAACTTCTCTAGGAAGAGTAGGAGGATTTCACATTTTTATGGAGAAATGAGGAAGCTTTTTCTCTTAATCTCATATTGTAACCAAAAAAACATTTCATAAACCAAAAGATCCCAATCATTTGCCAGAGCTGGAAAAAAGACAACTAGAAAAAAAAAAAAAAAAGCCAGGTTCTGACAAGTTCAGTTGACATTTTGGTATCTGTAATGTTCTGATGTTTCATCTTCTTTGTTTTCTTCATGTGGTTTAGAAAGTTACTTCTGTGACTGTATTGACTTACTTGTTTTAATTTGATACGTATGGATCAATTCTATATGCTGAGTGGTGTGCTGGCTGGAAGGAGGAAACCTGTATGTGGTGGGAAAGAATTGAGGTTAAAAAAAGAACAAGATCTGCTGCTATTTTCCTAGAATTTCTAGGGCTCTCTGGCTCCCAGTCACTTTCCCACTTTGAGAAATGGCAGGGGGAGCTGAAGGATTACTCAGACAAGCATTGTAAATAAATTTGAGGGAGCCGTAGCCTCCTAGGGAAGCTGTTAGGGAAGTGGCATACTATTTCATTAAAGACAGAATGAGAACTTACTTCCTCCTGATTTGAAAATATTGGTCACAGAGGTGTTTAATATTTCATTATGGAGTTAGTTTTGGTGTTTATTTGTTCTGTCTGCTGTGGTCATGTGTAGAAAGAAGGATACAGAAGCAAAGAGGAAATGGTGAAAAAAATATTTTAAAGCTGATTCAGAGGCTACAAAGATTAGAAAGATGAGCTAAGTTTGTCTTTTTACTTTGTTTTTAACAATGGATATGGCGGATAGTCCATGAGCTTGAACGGAGTGAACTTGAATCTGAACTTGAGTGATGCCAATGGCGGTTCCAGTCATGTTAGCAGTTGTGGTCCTTGCTGTGTACCAGATCCTTCAGGGGAATCAGAGATGGAGAGGTCCCAGTTCCTGCTCAGGAATGGTGAGACATCTTGCAAAATTTATAAGATGTGGGTGCAAATGAGAAAAGAAGCTAAGGGCCGTAAGGGAGGTATGAAGAGCTCTTGGGGCAGTGAGGTAAGGGAGATACATATGCCAGTTGGGGTCAGTCACGGAAGGTACCATGGAGGTGGTGGCATATGAAATGGACTTTATAAATTGGGTGATATTTTCAGTAGCAGAAGGGGAACCATATCCCTTCAGAAGTCACACTCTTGAACTTTACATCCTTACTGCCTCCATAATAATGAACCCTTTTTGGAGATCAGCCGGTTGTTAGTTTGGCTATATAGCATATGTATAGGGGTTAGGGGTTGTTTGGGGAGAAGCAGAAAAGGGGCTTGAGGGGTTTACAGTTTTGGGAGTGATCTGTGCTTTAATATTCAGTGTGTGGGGTGAAAGGGTGGGGGTAGGGAGAAGCCTGTCAAAGTTTGAGCAGAACTTTGCAGTGACTGCACATATGCCTCATTAATTGAAATCTGGAAGCTTGGAATGATGTGAACTCATTTGTAGTTGCAAGAGAGATTACAGTGGAGAGACTCAATCTTGAGGTCGAGCCCCATGTCGGGCTCCACCCTGCTCACACATGTTCTCTCTCTCTCTCAGTCTCTCTTTTTTTAAAAAAAATGTAATGAAACCATAGAATGAGCAAGGTCAAGGCAGTCAGTGAATGTGTTCTTAGACTTGACCCAGAAAGATGATCCATAAAAGGAAATACTTGATAAATTGGGTCTCATCAAAATTCAAAACTTTTTATAGACGATCTTGTTAAGAGGATGAAAAGTCAAACTACAGGATGGGAGAAAACACTTGCAAACCACATATATATATAACCAAGGACCCATATCTAGAACAAAAGAGGAACTCTGGAAGCCCCATAGTTAAAAAAAATAATGGGTAAAACACATGAACAGAAGCAGATATACAGATGGTAAATAAGCACGTGAAAAATATTCAGCATCATAGTCATCAGGGTAGTGCAAATTAAATCCACAATGAGATAACACTACACAACGATAGAAATGTGTAAGCAAAAAATAGTGACAACACCAAATGTTGTCAAGGATGTAGAGAAACTGGATCATTCGTCCATTCCTGATGGGGATTTGAAACAGCACAGTCACTCTGGAAAACAATTTGATAGTGTCTTATAAAACTGTATGTGCAATTACCATCTTTATAAAAGTTTAGTAAAATGATATTCACATAGGGGCGCCTGGGTGGCTCAGTGGGTTGGGCCCCTGCCTTCAGCTCAGGTCATGATCCCAGGGTCCTGGGATCAAGCCCCGCATCGGGCTCTCTGCTCGGCTGGGAGCCTGCTTCCCTTCCTCTCTCTCTGCCTGCCTTTCTGCCTACTTGTGATCTCTGTCTGTCAAATGAATAGATAAAATCTGTAAAAAAAAATGATATTCACATAAAAATAAACAATAGAAAAGTATTGAAGTCAAATGCCATACAGAGAAAAAAGGCAGGAAGGGAAAAAATAACATCCCCACCAATACTGAAAGCATGCTAGGAAAGTAAGTGCTCTAAAATGTGTCTGGAAGGTTAAATTTTTTTTAAAAAAATCAGAGAAATTAAGAAAATTTACACAGGACATGCAAGAATAACACAAAGAAGAATTAGCAAACTCATAAACAAAATGATAGAATTCAAGAATATACTTAGGAATAAAATAAATAATTAAAAGTAAAGTAATTTTAGAAGTGAAGATTAAATTAGAAGCAACAAGAAATATGTCAAATAAGGGAGAAAAGATGGAAAAATATTTAAATGTAAAACGAAGTAAAAGGGAGTCAAAAGAAAGTTATAAATATCAATGCTCAGCACAGATGATCCAACTACATACATACATGAGAGTCTGGGAAGAAGGTAACAGAGCAAAGACATAAAACAAATACAAAAATTATAATTGAGAAAATTTTGCCAACATAAAAAAAATTGAAAATACCTATTGAAAGAATAACTTTATAACTGAAAATATGGACCTAGAATGGCTAGCATAAGACACATTCTGGCAAAAATTACCTTTCGAGAAAGAGATGACCCTTTGGACATCTGGGCAACATTAGCATTTTACCCACAAGTGCCAGAAAAGTCGATTACCATCAGTCTTTTTGATGGTAACACGATTCCCTAGAAGAAAATGGATGAACATACCAGAGATCCACAGAGAAAGAAAATGTGAACCGGGGATTCTATATCCAGAAAAACCTGACCTTCAAAAACGTAAAAGACAAAGACAATGATTGGCATGCGAGAGTTCAGGAAATGTTATTCCCATGAGCCTTCTTAAGCAATCTACTGAAGAACTTGTTTCCCTGAGCCCTAGAGATTCTACTAGTGAGGAGGGTATGTGCTACAGTGAGTGCTCTGAATTGTGTAAGACCGACGAATCACAGACTTATACCCTTGAAACAAATAATACATTATATGGTTTTATTTTTTTTTTAAAGATTCTACTAGACAATGACTGTGGACAACCACACTTAAGAGAGGCATGTACTTGGAACTGGCGGGGAGCACGAGATCGTAGCTGGATGGTGGCTGAAGGGAGACATGGTATTGTGTGCTGGTTGTCTAATGCCAGGCTGCAGATCTAGTATAACTAGAATACAACATGTAGAGGAAGAGTTAGCATTTGCCAAAACACCCCACAAAACCCAAAAAACCCAACCCAAACCGGACCAACAACCAGACAACCGTTTCAGCAGTCACATTGGGTGATGATAGTTTTGGTCTCCTGACACTGATGTCTTTTTTTTTTTTTAATCCATTTTTTTAAATTTAATTTCTTTTCAATGTAACAAAATTTATTGTTTAAGCACCACACCCAGTGCTCCATGCAATACGTGCCCTCCATAATACCCACCACCAGGCTCCCCCAACCTCCCACCTCCCGCCCCTTCAAAACTCTTAGATTGTTTTTCAGAGTCAGAAATTGGAGGGGGAGTTGAACCATGAGAGACTATGGACTCTGACACTGATGTCTTAACGGCCAGGCTTCCATTTCTTTGTCTCTATCTCACCCATGGATGCTACCCCGATTCTCAACTCTGAAACCTCCTCCAAAGCCCTGTCTTGCATTTCCCACATACCTTTGCATTCTCTTCATTTCTTTTCTGCTGTTCACACTTGGCCCCCTTCAACTTGAATCAGTCAATCCACTTTCAGTTTTTACTCAGCAAGCGAGAGCCTAGGATCGAATCTTTCAAACACAAAATTCTCCGAAGGAGAGGGAGAAGCTGTGATGTATCCTTTATTGCTATTTTGCCATGTCTCATAGGAAACTATGTGGTTAATACCATCAGCACTGATGCCAATTTTAATATTAGATTTTGGGTGTTCTGTAATCCTGTCCTTTTTCCTTTACACTCCTTTCCTGTGGTTAAAGTTGCTAGAAATAATAACTGCATACTTATCTATACACTTTATTCCATCTATAGAGGTGCTGTTCTATAATCATGTAGCTCTCTATTTCTAGAAAACATCTTCCTTAGGCAGCCTAAGTTCATATTTCTAGACAGGAAAATACTAAAAGGGTCACTTAGCAAAGAATTGGCACCAATGCCATATTAACTGTCATAAATGCCATGAGTACTCTTCTTTCCGGGGGGGGGGGGATATATATATTAAGATATATATATATCTTAGAACCTCTGTTCTAGACCATACCTGATACGAAAGTTCTTGGTCGGCCAGCATTGTAACTTTCATATGGAGGGAGGTCTTTTGCATTTGCAAGGACTGAAAGAGGAGGGTGCCAATGCGGAGCAGAAGAGAAATATTGCTTAATAGAGCCAAGAGCAATTCTCTTGATCTTACTCTGTGGCATTTTCCATGTTTACCTGTAAAATGGATGGAACATGGATTTCTTTGTGTGTCTCTGGGAATCCTCTCGGATGAGAGTAGGTAGAAGATAGAACAGGCATCTGGACCACCACCATCACGATGTTCTTTTGAGAAGCTTCTGGGAGAGCAAGTGGCATTTTCCTAGGGAAGGAGCAGCAAGGCTCTTTGCTTTGCTAAAGCTGCCTCAATTTTGTGCACATGGGCTTAACGGTGCTTGTGACTTCGCTACTACTGGCAGATCAGGCCTTGCCCTTTGACGAAGTAAGCAAAGCAATTGTTCAAAAGCAGAATGACAGTAAGTACACAGAAACACCCAGCCTTCTGTACCACTGAAAAGATGAAAGGAGATGTTTGTAAGGAGTCAGAATGTTCTGCAGATGTACTTCTTATAAATGGTGATAATAACTTGGTTGGGAGAAAGATGTCCTGAACCTTAGATCTCCACCTCACCCCTACTTGTCATCATTGTGATCGTATTTCATGGTCTTGGATTTATATGTGTTCCCAACAACTCTTTATTGTATTCCTTAATTTTTCTGATACAGATCCTTTAAATTTAGAAAGACACATTTCTCAGTTGGTGAAATACATTACCATAAGATAGCTGCACTTAATACTGCTCAGATTAGTTAACAGAAGTCAACGAGAATGTTTGTTTTATGTACTTACATGGTCTAAGGATAGGAAATCAGTACCAGTTAGAAGACCAGCAAACAGAAAACATGACAAAATCTTCATTTTTATAAATGATCTTGAAAATAAGAATTGAGATAACACTTGTGTCAGGTGCATTTATTCCTAGATCAATTGGCTACATTTACTCCTAAATCAATATTTTTGAATTAGTAAACTACCAGTTAATATCTAATACATAAGAGAATTAAAAGAATGGTAATACCCACCATGAATGAGATTGTGGTAAAATACACTAGTGATGCTAGCATATCTTTTATTGGATTGCTTGTATTTTCTGATTGTTAAAAATAAATAGTCTCATAGAAAACTCAAGGCACAGCCTTATAAAGGGAAAAATAAAAATCATCCCAAATCTCTCCATGGAGAGAAAACCACTGATGACATCTTGGTTTATCTCTTTTTCAACAGCTCTCTCTGAAGATAAACACATTAAATTGCTACAATAACATTACACATGCTGTTTTGCAACCTGAACATGGAGGTCTCATGTTCCACTTAACCAATTGTGTACACAGTGGTAGACTCTGCTTCTTTGCATTTTGTCACGATAGTAAACAACTCTAAAATGAACGTCCTTAACTATACACTCATACACACTTGATAAAGTACATCCTGGAGGAAATGATTATGAGGAAAATGATTACTAGCAAAGATTACATAGACTTTACATTTTTAAAGATTTTATTTTATTTTTTTATTTATTTGACAGAGAGAGATCACAAGTAGGCAGAGAGACAGGCAGAGAAAGAGGGGGGAAGCAGGCTCCCTGCTGAGCAGAGAGCCCGACGTGGGGCTTGATCCCAGGACCCTGAGATCATGACCCGAGCTGAAGGCAGAGGCTTTAACCCACTGAGCCACCCAGGTGCCCCACATAGACTTTACATTTTGAACCCTATGGGCAGACTACCTCCTAGAAATTTATATTCCCAGTAATTGCTATTCACTATTGTCTCATACCCTTTCCAGTATTTGATATTGTTAGTATATATTTTTTAAAATATTGACAGGTAAAAATTTAGACCTCATTCTTTTAGTACACATTTCTTTGAATATTATTGTAATTCATTACTCACATTCTGATTTTTGCTATTGGCATTTTACTAGTTGTCAATTACCTCCCGATCCCTCTACTAACTTTTCAATAAGGATGCTTGTTTCTTCTTATTTTTTAGAGTAAACTGTTCCTTGGGGATATTCAATCTTCGTTGGGTGTGCTGAAAATATTTTCCCAGCTTATTGCTTTTTGGGTTTGTTTAAAGTATTTATTTATTGCCAAATGTAGATTTAAAAAAATTAAGTAGTTACTTAAGTACTTACTGGATTTTATGGCATGCTTAAAAAGACCTGTTCCACCCATATTTAAACAGAGGATAGGAGAGGATATAGGAAAGAGGATATATGGGAAAGCGTTTTGCAATGTCTGAAAGTCGGATAAAACAGCACCTCATTTTATACCCTAACCAAATCACAACAGAACAAACAAACAGATAACAGCAAAATAAAAAATTCTGACCATATCTGATTTAGGAGAACTGAACCAGATAAATTTTGAAGCTTTCTATCTCTGCTGGGATGCCATACAGTCAATATATGGAGAAGTGCTTTCACTGATCCAAAAAATATTTATTAAGTACGGGGTACTGTGCTGGGTTTTGGTTCAGAGAAAAAAAGATAATGATTTGAAAAAAGAAAATAAGATCACTCCTGCCCGCACAGAGTTCACAGACTGCAAGGTACTGTAGAAGATTAGCATCCATCCCTCATCCTACTCCAACACCATGAGAAAACAATTGGTCAATGCAGAAAATCCTGATTTCCTGGTTGGGGGAAGGGGAACCCATTTCTTGTGATTTAAAGAAAACACATTGTCTAGAAGAGCCCAAGCTCCCTTCTTCTGCATCTCTTCACAGCTGCCTCTCGGCAAGGGGACACTGATGCCTTTGAGACACGGACTGGGCTGTAATAATTAAACCTGTAATCATGCTGTACACCAAGAAAATGTTTTCAAAACATCTGCACTCTTTAACCAGCCAAGATATTTTATGAACAATATTTGTGAAAGCTTCCATCAGGAAGTATTCATTCATTTGAAGTAATGGATGAAAATATTTGAAAATATTTGGTCATCTTAATTAACTGTGTGTGTGTGTGTGTGTGTGTGTGTTTTGAATGTGTGTATATGAATGGGCCACATACTTGTGTAAAAGAATTTTATATATAACTATTTTTTTAAAGATTTTGTTTATTTGACAGACAGAGATCACAAGTAGGCAGAGAGACAGGCAGAGAGAGAGAGGGAAGCAGGCTCCCTGCTGAGGAAAGAGCCTGATGTGGGGCTTGATCCCAGAACTCTGGGATCATGAACTGAGCCGAAGGCAGAGGCTTTAACCCACTGAACCACCCAGGTGCCCCAATGTATAACTATGTTTTAAAGTTAAAACACTTCCTGTATTTGATTTTGTAAGGGAGAATGGAAGACATTAAGGATGGAAACTAAGATCTAGTCTAGAATGAGAGAAATGACCATAGCCCCATATATCCCATAGTCCCAACCATATCATCAGGATTTTAAAAATTATTTTTGCCTTTATTATTCAGTCGTCACAAAAAGCTTGGGAAATATCAATACTTCTATTTTACATAGTGAAATAATGTGTCTAAGTGTGATTCGGTGATTGAAGTCCCTAGGTTAGTAAATATCAGAGATGAAAACCAAACCCCAAGTTTATTACTTTTGCCACCACTCTACAGCCATCCCAGTGTTCAAGGCCTGCTTAACTTGTAAAAGGAGGAATAGCCAGTTACTTCCCAATTACCCATGCATGAACCTGGTGAGAGCCTAGCCACTCACCACCGGCCCTGCGTGCAGAACCCAAGCACCCTCTTTATTGTGCTTGCCTTGGGCCAATGTGGTAAGAGCATCAATGGGCTTCAGAGTCAAATTTAATCTTAGGCTTTAATCCTGGTTCTGCCCTTACTAGCTGTGCACATTTGGACCTGAGCTCTCTGCCTCGCCTCTACCCAGGAACCCTGGCAGCGACAGCACTTACAAGGAAGACCGTGTGAACTCTCTGGCATATACTAAGTGTTCAGGAATCACCAGGGACATAACTTGGGCTCTCCCGGGATGCCTTCAAGAGACACAAAACCCACTGGGGAATAGGAGGTTTAAAGGGAATGGGGCCCTGGACATAAAAACAAGAGCCACTAAGAGTTAGTTTTGACTCTGTGCTAACCCACATGCGAAGAACTGCTACGGGGCCACAGTTAATTCCCGTTTTATTGCGGATCCTCCTACTGCCTTATGTCTCACGAGGGATTCTATTACGAAAGAAATGGGGAGCCTTGAAAAAAGGAGAGAAATGTAGGGATGGCATTGCTGAACCTTTTTACAATGCTCAAAAATGGATTTTCCTAATCCCCACCACTTTTTTTTCCATCCTCTGTAGCCGATGGCGTGTGTGTCTTCAAATGCTTACTCAACAGAGACACTGAATGTTGCCGCGTGGGGAAGGAATCCGTCTTGATTACACTGGGATACAACAGCATTTTGCTGAAGTTTGAGTCTCACGCTGGTAAGTTTGGGGCCTGTCCTGAGCCCTTCCTTGCCTTTCCTGAGGACAAGTCTTTGGACTGGTTAGCTTTGCTGTTACTGGCTGGTTGGCTTTTGGCAGTGTGTTTCCTGTTGTGACCTGTCATGGACTGAGGGAAGGATTTGAAACTAGTGCTGGCACTTACTTGATCCCATGGCTGGGGATTAACCAGCCTTTTCCTAGACTATGAGGATGTTTTTATTCTTAACCACGCCCTCCCCCTTTGGTCCTCCTTCCTCCAGAGCTGCAGGAGAGGATGGCCACCAAGGATGGTCCCGGTCTTCCATCACTCTTGTTGCTTCTCCTTGACGACGAGGCTGTTCGCAGAAATGTGACTTTTCAATTTGAGTGACATTCAGAATGATTTCGTCTTGTTTTTTTACCTTTGAATCATACCAAAAGGTATGACGAATACCAAACAAGCAGGGAGGTAAACTGAAGTAAAATTAAGTGTTTTAAGAAAGGAAGAAAAGACACTCTGGAAGAGATCAGCTCTGATAAAGAAATTAAGGCTAGCAGTGCCTTGGGTCTGCGTTAGATGTTTGATGGTCTTTTCTTTGACTTGATATAAATTGATTCTTTGTACTTACGGTGTTAATCCAGGCAACGTAAAGTATTAGCAGTGGTACGTGTTCTCCTCAGGTTAGCTGAAGTACCCTAAGCTGTTTGATTATCAGTAACTACTTGGGATAAAGAAATTAACCTGGTTTCTTATTTTGAAATTCCACTCACACGGGCATCAGCTAGAGCAAGGAATTTGCTCAACACATGTCTGTCCATTTGTCCATCTTATGTTTATGCTGCATTTTGGAGTAAATTATAGTAACCAACACATTCTAACACCATGTACTTCCAGCTGCATATCATTAACTAGAATTCAAAATTTGTTTGTAATTTTTTTCTATGAAAGTGAAATTTACATACCTCACAATGCACAAATCTCAAAACACCATCATTCGTAAGAGTTGCCTCATAGCCTTTCCCCATCACTCCTTACATCTGTCGTTGCAGGGGCAATCACTGCTCTGATTTTCTTCTAAACAAAATTAGATTTTACTTGGATTTGACTAGAACTTCCTATAAATTGGATCATTCAGTGTACACTCTCTTTTAGTAAGGTCACTGAGCATATTTTGAGACATCCATGTTGTTGCTAGTGTGAGTAGTTTGTTCACTTTTATTACTAGGTAATAGTCACAATTCGTATATCCATTCTCGTTTCGGTGAATATGGAGACTATCTCCAGGTCTTGGCTATCGTGAGTAAGGTTACTATAAATATTCTCATACCAGTCATTTTGCAGACATATATTTTTTTCATTTCTTTTAGAGCAATACCAGAAGGTAAAATTGCTGGGTCATAGAATAAATGCACGCTTAGTTCTCTAAAAAACAGCCAGAACTTTTCTTTTTTTTTTTAATTTTTTTAATTTATTTTCAGCGTAACAGTATTCATTGTTTTTGCACCACACCCAGTGCTCCATGCAATCCGTGCCCTCTCTAATACCCACCACCTGGCTCCCCCAACCTCCCACCCCACGCCCCTTCAAAACCCTCAGATTGTTTTTCAGAGTCCATAGTCTATCATGGTTCACCTCCCCTTCCAATTTCCCTCAACTCCTTTCTCCTCTCCATCTCCTCTTGTCCTCCATGCTATTTGTTATGCTCCACAAATAAGTGAAACCATATGATAATTGACTCTCTCTGCTTGACTTATTTCACTCAGCATAATCTCTTCCAGTCCCGTCCGTGTTGCTACAAAAGTTGGGTATTCATCCTTTCTGATGGAGGCATAATACTACATAGTGTATATGGACCACATCTTCCTTATCCATTCGTCCGTTGAAGGGCATTTTGGTTCTTTCCACACTTTGGCGACCGTGGCCATTGCTGCTATAAACATTGGGGTACAGATGGCCCTTCTTTTCACTACATCTGTATCTTTGGGGTAAATACCCAGTAGTGCAATTGCAGGGTCATAGGGAAGCTCTATTTTTAATTTCTTGAGGAATCTCTACACTGTTTTCCAAAGTGGCTGCACCAACTTGCATTCCCACCAACAGTGTAAGAGGGTTCCCCTTTCTCCACATCCCCTCCAACACATGTTGTTTCCTGTCTTGCTAATTTTGGCCATTCAAACTGGTGTAAGGTGGTATCTCCATGTGGTTTTAATTTGAATCTCCCTGATGGCTAGTGATGATGAACATTTTTTCATGTGTCTGATAGCCATTTGTATGTCTTCATTGGAGAAGTGTCTGTTCATGTCTTCTGCCCATTTTTTTATATGATTGTCTGTTTTGTGTGTGTTGAGTTTGAGGAGTTCTTTATAGATCCTGGATATCAACCTTTTGTCTGTACTGTCATTTGCAAATATCTTCTCCCATTCCATGGGTTGCCTCTTTGTTTTGTTGACTGTTTCCTTTGCTGTGCAGAAGCTTTTGATTTTGATGAAGTCCCAAAAGTTCATTTTCGCTTTTGTTTCCTTTGCCTTTGGAGACAGATCTCGAAAGAAGTTGCTGTGACTGATGTCAAAGAGGTTACTGCCTATGTCCTCCTCTAGGATTCTGATGGATTCCTGTCTCACGTTGAGTTCTCTTATCCATTTTGAGTTTATCTTTGTGTAAGGTGTAAGAGAATGGTCAAGTTTCATTCTTCTACATATAGCTGTCCAGTTTTCCCAGCACCATTTATTGAAGAGACTGTCTTTTTTTCACTATATATTTTTTCCTGTTTTGTTGAAGATTATTTGACCATAGAGTTGAAGGTCCATATCTGGGCTCTCTACTCTGTTCCACTGGTCTATGTGTCTGTTTTTATGCCAGTACCATGCTGTCTTGGTGATCACAGCTTTGTAGTAAAGCTTGAAATCAGGTAACGTGATGCCCCCAGTTTTATTTTTGTTTTTCAACATTTCCTTAGCAATTCGGGGTCTCTTCTGATTCCATACAAATTTTTGGATTATTTGCTCCAGCTCTTTGAAAAATACTGGTGGAATTTTGATCAGAATGGCATTAAAAGTATACATTGCTTTAGGCAGTATAGACATTTTAACAATGTTTATTCTTCCAATCCAAGAGCATGGAATGGTCTTCCATGTTTTTGTGTCTTCTTCAATTTCTTTCCTGAGTGTTCTGTAGTTCCTCGAGTACAGATCCTTTACCTCTTTGGTTAGGTTTATTCCATAATTAGTTTTATGGTTCTAAAGCGGTTGGACCATCGTATGCTCCCACCAATAATGGATGGGAGTTGTTCCACATCTTTGCCAGTATTTGGTGTTTCAGTCTATTAAATTTGTTTTCCAGTTTATAAAAATTAATTAATTAATTAACTAACTAATTAAATAAAACTTTCTCCATTTTGATAGACATGTGGTTGAATCTCACTGTGGTTTTAATTTACATTTTCCTGATGCGTAGTGATATTAAGCACTTTTTAATGCGCTTATGAATTCAAATCATTTACTTGTTACTAAGTGGTTATTTGTCTATGGAGTTACTGTTCTTCATGTATGTGGGACACCGGGCACATGTCAGACACACAGTTCACGCACATTATCTCCTAGCTTGGAACGTGCTTACTCATTTACATAGTGATGTCTTATGTTGAAAAGAAGTTTTCAAATTTGGTGATGCCATTTTTTTTTTCCTTATTGATTTCAGTATCCCAAGAACTTTTCCTACCCTCAAATTTCGACTGTATTTCCTTCTAGAAGTTTTAAAGTTTAATTTTTGCATTTTATTATTTTTTGTGTGTTTATTATTATTTTCTAATCTCTCTTAATTACTTTTTATATGGTGTGAGGTATGGGGTCAAGGATTACTTTTAGACCATACAGATATCCATTTATTCTAACACTGTGTGTTGAAAAGGCATTTGCAAGTCAAATGACTGTATGCAGACTTGGTCTATTCTAGAGTTCTCTGATCTGCTCCACTTACTTCTTATTATCCTTAGGCCAGTATCCCATTGTCAGGGTTACCTTCAAAGTAACTCTTGAAGTCTGATGGTTCAAGTTTTCTAACTTTGTTTTTTTGTCAAGATTTTTCTGGATAGGGACGCCTGGGTGGCTCAGTTGGTTAAGCAGCTGCCTTCGGCTCAGGTCATGATCCCAGCGTCCTGGGATTGAGTCCCACATCGGGCTCCTTGCTCCTCAGGGAGCCTGCTTCTCCCTCTGCCTGCCATTCTGTCTGCCTGTGCTTGCTCTCTCTCCCTCTCTTTCTCTGATAAATAAATAAATAAGTAAAATCTTTAAAAAAAAAAAAAAGATTGTTCTGGATATTCTTGCTCCTTTACATTCCCATATACATTTTATAATTAAACTGTCAATTAATGTACAATACTTGCTCCAATAAAGACTGAGATTGATCAGTTTGGGGAGGATTGTCATTTTCACAACATTAAGTCTTTTGGTCATTGGCAAGCTGAAAATAGCTCATACTAAGTCACAAGAGACAGTTATTAAATTTTCAGAAATTTGATAGCTTGACATTGGCCAGGGTGGAAGAAATTAGCAAAGTCCCCTGTTGTTTTGTGGGGCGGGAGTTCATTGTTAAATGATTACCAGCATGCCATTACTTTCAGACCAGGAATATGGTATTTCTCTCCATTTATTTAGGGCTTTAATTTTCCCCAGAAGGGGAACATTTTGTAGTTTTCAGCAATGAGGTCATACACAACTGTGACAAATTTATCCCTGAATATTTTATGTTTTTGACTGTATTGTAAACAAAATTTTGAAAACTCACAAGTGTTTTCTGGTGGTATATAATAAATATATTGTCATTAAAAAATTTCCAGTGTGATTAATATACAGTGTTACATTAGTACAATACAGTGATGCAACAATTCTCTGCATTATTCAGTGCTCATCGTAAGTGTGCTCTTAGTCCCCTTTTCCTATTTCACCCCACCAGCCTCCATTCTGGTAAAACTCTGTTTGTTCTCTATAGTTAAGAGTCTGTTTTTCGGTTTGTGTCTTTCTTC